AGTGAGTCTCTCAAATCTGTCTGGGGAGGAAGTCAGAAAGAAACAAAAAGCAGGCTTACTGAGGCCGCAAGAAGGCTACGCCATCCTTCCTCTGCCTGAAGGCAGTGAAGGGGTCTGGCAAGCCAGTCCCAGAGCCTTCCATTGTTCTGATCAAGGCCAAACCCAGAAATAGAGCCAGGGGTAAATCCAGGGGCCCTAAGGGGATGTGGGATGATGGGACCTCGCTTTGGGTGGCAGAGGAGGGCCCAGGACGTGGGCTCTGGGTGTGTGGCTGCAACCCCCGCAGTCTGTTTGGGTGTGTCACGTCATCATCATACCGGCCATCGCATGCTGGGTCCCTCCTGGGTCTGAGTCCATCTGCCCGAGCTCAGCTCTGGGCTGCCTCCTCGCCCTCCCCGAGTCTCCACATCACTTTCCCCCAGTCCTGTTTCTCTCCTGAGCTCCCCGCTCTCAGAGCCCGTGGGAAGGGGACAGTGAGGCAGCCATTCAGGAAGCTGGGAGATAGGCCTGTCCTGGGGCTTGGAGGGCAGAGTTTAAGCTTGACTTGCTGTGGGCACTGCTGCTGCCCACTCACTGCCAGTCACACACCTGAAGGATGACTCTGTAGCTCGTTGCCCTAAGTTCTGTCCTTTCTCCTCTTCCTCACCTTTTTTGTCTCCCTCTTCCCATGCTCCCCTGTTCTTGTCCCCCTGGAATCCAAGCCCTGCCTCGGTTTCTTTATCCCTGTGGATTGGCATGTTATTAGGCTCCAGCCATGGGCAGGAGCATGGCCTCCGTGGGGGCAGTACATAGCATCTGTTGTACAAGCAGTGTCTCTGTTAGTGTGAGGGGGGCTGTCACAGGGAACCCCGAGACTTGGGGCCAGACAGATTGGGGCCAAATCTTCCTCAGCACTGCCTCTGAGCAACTTGTTTAACTTGAATAGGCTTCTGTTGCCTGGTCTATAAGATGCATACTAATCACCATGTCATAGGGTTGCTGTGGAGATTGAATGGATCACAGCCCTAAGGGCCAGGCAGAGCTGGGCGCTCTGTCACGTGAAGGCTTCCCCCACAGGCTTGCCTGCTACGGGTTGCTGAGCCTGGGGTCTGCTCTCCCAGGAGGCAATTCTGCCAAGCAGGAAATACAGAAGTGTTACTTCTGGAATGTGCACCTTCCCGCTAGGCCCCAAGGATCCCACCTCCTCTTCTGGCTTTGTTCTCATTTTTCCGTTGCCTCAGTGTACTTTCCCTGCCCTCTCCCCACCGGCCCACCAACCAGAATGTGAATGACAGAAAAGGCCCACCCACAGGGGGCGTGAGTGAGTGTGGCCCAGTTCCCATTTTCCACCTCCAGCGGTGTGGTTTCATTGCCAAACAACCTAAGCAGGTGTCACAAATAAGAATTCAGGGCCAGCAGGCTTCAGGGAGAAGGTGTGGAATGATTCAGATAACAGTGTTTGGAATCAGGCTGTTGTGTGTTCTGACCTTGACTCCTAGTGCCCAAACTCCATGACCTTGGGTAAAGTTATTTATCCTGTCTGAGTCCTTACCTTTGGTAACAGCAAGTGTGTGAGAAATCCCTCCCACACCCCTGCCCCATATGATCTCCATGGCCTTGCCAGAGCAAGTAATAACAGCACACTTACAGGGTGCTCAGGGCCCCAGGACTGTTCCAGCAAACTTGCATATCTTCTCACACTGTACGTTAGTATTACACTCACATTCCAGATGAGAAAACGGTAGCATGGTGAAGTTAAGTAACTTGCTCAAGGTCACCCCACATGGCAGAGCTGGGAATGATGTCACTGCAATTGCGGGGCATTTTCAGCTTGACTCATATGGGAAGTTATCCTGTGGAACCTGGAAGAGAGATGGGAGTCCTACACCATGAAGTGCAGAGGGCTCCAGAACTTACCATGGCCCCCTTGCAGAGGGAGCCTGCAGAGAATGCCAAAGGGTCAAATGAGGTCAACTATCCAGGGACTTTGTCTGCAGGCACTGCCTAATTTGTATCAGTGTCTGCTGGCCTTGCCTTCCTCCTGCGTCATTTGCTTGGCCACCCTTTATCAGGATGCACCTCTTCTCTGGAGCTCCTTTCAGCAAATTCATTAAAAGGAGGGACCAGGCAAGCAGGAACAGGCTGGATCTCAGAGGTCAGGCGACTTCTGGCCACAAAGCCTGACTCATTTTTGCTTCATTAACGAAATTATTATTTTTTTAATGTCAAAGGCCTAGTTTAGGAAGATCCAGATGTACACTAGGGCTCCAGCTCTTAGAGAAAAACTCTAAAGGCCAACTGCAGAAGCAAATGCATGTGCCTTTGCGGTTCGTTCAGGCTGCGGCCTGGCCCTGACTTAAGGAGCTCCAGCTACGTGCTGACAACATATGTGTACCAGCCAAGGCTTCCCGAGCCTGCATCTGGCCGTTCCCTCCCTGAGTCTGAGCTGGGTCCTCCCCTCCTCCCTCCCTCCCTCCCTCCCCACAGCTTGTTCGGATCCGTGGGTAAATGTGCAGGAATGTTCTAGGAAACAGGAACATTTAGGCTCCAGCCAGATGGGTTCAGATTCCAGCTCAGGCATCTCCCAGCTCCACTCCGAGGGGCGGGTTTCCATTGGGAAACTATGAAAACACATGGAAATGGTTTAGCCCCGAGCTCGGCGCAAGGTAAAGGGTCAATAACTGGAGGAGCCTGGGTGTGAGTCTGAGGCAGTTTGTCCTCAGAGCTGCTTTTGAGGGGCCTAATTCCCATTTGCTTCCCTCCACAGCCTTCCCCTCAGACATGGATTTTCCTCATGCCCTGGTTCAGCCCCTGAGGAGGGTCAGCCTCACCTCACTACAGAGGCTTCTGTGACTCGCTCCCACCCAAATAAGTCTGACCTGTCCCAGTCTCTGCCCAGGATCCAGCCAGACTGACGGACTAGCTTTGACCCTTCAAGGGTGTGAGGTGATGTTTTACCGAGGCCCAGAGACGATGCTTCAGGAAAGCCCAGGCTGGCACTCGTCAGTATTTACCTAATGACCTAATGTCTTGGGCCCGGAAGACAAATGCTGCCATGCACTGAGCCCCACCCCCACAGGGAGACTAAATGGTGGCTATTTGGGCAGCATTGGACCCATGCGGGAGGAAACTGCTCCTGAACTTGAGATCACACTGCCTAGGGAAGAGCTAGGTGACCTGTGCATCCGTGCCTTCTCTGTCTCAGAGCCCTCAGGGAGCTGTGAAAAGGAGGAGAGGCGCCCTCGGGGGCTGTGTAGCACACACGCCAGACCTCCCTCACTGCTAAGGGCCAGGAGCTGGTGTTGTGCCAGGGTCCAGAGATCAGGATTCAGTTCCTACTCTGCTCATGACTCATGCATGACACTAGGCAGGTCATTACCCCACAGTTACGGCTAAAAGGCTGTGTAATAGCATCTGGCCTCTCCCTGCCTCGTAATAGTGACTCAGAGAATTAATGAGGGAATAAGCACTAAGTTTTATGACTGCAAGCTTTGTTCCCATGCACTTCGTCTGACTATGCCACAAACCAGATGAGAAATAGCAAAGGTCGAAGTTCTCTTTATGGGAGGTTGAGGTCCCAGGTTGCAGGAGGCGCCTCTCCCAGGGTGGTTCTGAACTCTGCATCTGTGTCTCAGTTATTGGAGGCCCAGGGGAGACACAAGGAGCGGGTGCACAAATAGGGTAGAGGGTGTATATTCTCCAAGCTCAGGCCACATGCCTGGGGCATTTCTCATGGCAAATCAGCCAAAGGAATGGACCTTGCTGACCCTTTTGGAAGCTTCTGGTAGCAAAATCACAGACAGAATAGCACCTCTCAGGGCTAGAGTGGGCAGAACTGGGTCCATCGCTCCAGAAATGCTGCTCTTCTAGGTTCCCATGTTGTCCTGGCCGACTTCTTACATAATTTGGTTTTGTGATCTCTTCTCTTTACAAATCCCCATGGCACAACTGCGAGGATACTGGTGGCTGAGGCCAGAGCCCTAGAAAAACAGGAGGAGGGAGAGAGGCAGGTGGTGCTCTGGCTGTGGCCCTTTTTCATGGAGCCAACTTGGAGAAGCTGCTTCCTTCTGTGCCATGGCTTTTCTGGCTCAAGATTTGGAGCTTCCCCAGTGGAAGGTCTACACAGTATTAAACTGATTCCTCCAATAATTCTACCTGGGGTAGAGACGATTCTTTCCAGTTTCATTCCACCTGATAGTAATTCACATGGTTCAAAATCAAAGTAATAGAAATTAGATGCAATGAGACATCTTGCTCTGCTCTGCCCGGGGTCACCCTTTCTTCCCACTGTACCCCTAGTACCTGTACAGTTTCTTATGTATCCTTCTAGTTTCTTTATGCAAATTCAAATACGCATTTTCAGTCTGCTTCCTCCTGAAGTGTGCAGAAGTGAGCACATGGTGTATGCCCTGTCTGTCAGCCAGGGTCCGTGTGGAAGCCAGTGGTGCACCAAGCTGAGGGAGAGTCCGTAAGAAACTGTTGACAAGGTGTGGACAGGGTGTGGCAGAAGCAAAAGGAAGGTGGATATCCCGGGGCTGGTGACTGTGAGGAGCAGAGCGTGCAGGGGGAGGGGGAGGAAGGGAAGGGGAGGGAGGGAGAGAGGACTTTGTGGAGAGGGACCCAGGCTCAAATACCTTGCCCTTGCTCCCTCCCACCCTCTGGGCCTTCTGCAAGGCCCCCACTGGCCCGCCCTCACCGGACATAGGAAGGAGGCCTGTGTGTGGAGACTTTACAAGGCCAGCTTCCTGAGACAGAGCAGGCTGAATAGGGTGGGGTGTCTCAGGAGGGGCATGTGGAGCCTGCTCCAGCCTTGCCCCTTTGGCCACCTGACAGCTGTCCTGGAGATCTTTCCCCACTGCTCGCTAGTGTGGCTTTAGACATTTCTTTGTCCTGCTTCCTCACCTTCCCAGCCCGCACTGCCGTGGAGCCCCTCACACGCCCAGGGCCGCGACTGTGTCTTGGTGTGATGTGACCTAGGGCCCTCTGTCCACAGGCCTGCTGGGGCAATGCTTCCCACAAACACTACAGGAAAATCTTGAGCCGCCTCGCGCCTCCTGCCGGCAGTACCAGTGCTCTGCGTGCATTTGCACGGACTCCCGGGGGGTGCCTTCTCCTGGAAGCTGTCATCTCTACCTCCCTCTTCGCCCGGGGCTCCCAGGCCGTCACTGAGCACATCATTGTCCTCACCCCACCTGCTTTGCCCAGCCGTGGACACGGCTCCCCAGCCCCACACAGCCTGTCCTCGGGCGGTGGGGAGTGCAGGCGACGTTATGGCATGGAATGAGAACTCACTGAAGATTTGTCAGCAGACATCACTGCTGGCAAAACTCGCTGCTGGCCCCGCCTCAGGTAGGGCAGACTTCCTCAGCCACGTCTCCCTGGTCTCTGCTGCCGTGTCGCTGGGCTTCTCCATTTCCTCTCTCCCCTGGCCCCGTCCCTGGGCCACACTCGCCTGTCCTCATCCTAAACTTTACTTTCCCTTTCTTCTCCTTTCCTATACAAAGCAGTTGAGATCCCATTTGCCTCAAAGTCTCCCACAAGTCTGGGTCCAATAGCTGTTCTCTCAAACTAGAGGACTGTTTTCTCTCCAGCAGATCCCTGCTAAATCCATGCCACCCCAGAGAAATACACACTGAACCAGATATATGTGGCGTTAAATTTTCCAGTTGCTACATGAAAAAATTTAAAGAAAAGGTGAGATTAATTTTAATATGTTCTATTTAACCCAATATACCCCAAATATTATCATGTCAACATTTAAAGTATAATTTAAAATTAAAATGCACTATTCTTAATAATGTTAATTTAGAATTATTAATAAGATATTTTAATTCTGTTATTTAACAAGATATTTTAAATCTGGTATGTATTTTGCACTTATAGCACACCTCAACTCAGGCTAACCCAGCTTTATGTGTGTGGTAACCACGTGAGGCTGGTAGTAACTATGTTGGACAGAAGAGCCCTAGACTCCAGAACAACCTACAACCACCTTTTAAAAAATAACTAGGTTTTCCCCACTTAGTGGGTACAGTGGGCTCCCGTTAACACAGCAGCCCTATTCCACTGCTAGCTTCCATTGCCATGGAGACCTCCACGCTCGCTCAGGTGTTTCTGGAGGGGAGTTTCCTGCTCTTCTCCAGGCTCCTGTGTCTGTGTGCCCTGCCCAGGAAGGCATCAAGGCCGGGGCCCCGCCTCACCCAATGCTGCCCCAGCGTCTGGGGAGTGCTGGCACCTGCCCTGGGACCCTGGTGGCGTCCCTCCAGGTGCTCCAGGGGCCTGAGTTTGAATCTAAACTCCCTGTGCGCACAGGCAACCCCAAGAGGTGTAAAGACTGGTGTAGAGGTCTATGGGAAGAGCCATTATCATGCCAGCACGTTGTCCCCCACCGCCTTGACTCCCCGAGCACTTGTGCAAAGCCCCCGCACTTGTCCCATCACTATGTAGGCAAAGTGGGGAGAGGCAGCACGGTATTTCCTAAAGTGGTTTCCAAGGATGTTTATTGCTATTATGAGGGAAATGGTGTGGTGGTCCCATAGTCAAGTAAGTTTAGGGGGAATGAAATTGAGCAGCAGGTGCCTGAATTACGGCTTCTGGGCCTCTCACATCCTAATGTGTATCCTAATGTTTATATTTATGGAGCAGTTCCCAACTTATTTGACCATGGAGCACTCCTCCTACGGATTATGAGAGATGAGAATAGGGGGAAATGTTTTTGAGGTTAAATGAGTTTAAAAATCTCTTTAAGTAGAGTTGGAAGTGTCCTTCCTGGTGAGAACAGGGCTTTGGGAAAGAGTTCTTGAGTCCTGAACTCCAACAGTCCTACTTCAGCCCCACTCCATCCTCTGTGGTTGTACACTCTGTGGGGGATCCCCCAATGCACACTGATGTGGTGAGCTGATGGCCCCAACACTGAGCTCACGTCAGACTCTAGGGACTTGCCTTTTGGCAAGAACCTAGGGCTGGTGCCTGTTCTGGAGGACTGAACACATCTCCCTCGGCTATTTGTTTGTCTTGAGAAGTTTTATTTTAAATTGTGTACATTAATATAATCTTATTAACATTTAAACAATGAATCTCCATTAATATCCTTGTAATCTCAATGACTGCCCGGAGATAGCAGCGTCCATTGGTCTGGACTTTAACCTTCACTGTTAGCTATGATTTATTCACATATGTAATACCTATAGAAATACAGATTTTGTTTGTGGGCTTATGTGTTTTTATGTAGACCACTGTATGTATTGCTCTACAATTTTTTTTTTCAATGAACACTTCTGAGGGATCTTTTCATAGCAGTACAAGTCAGTATCTCATTGTTTTCAACTGGGTCATGGAATTTCATAGTGTTTATTGGATCATTCCCCAACTGATAATCTTTTCGTATGTTTCTGGTCTTCACATTTGCAAACAAAGTTGCAGTGAACACACAGATGAGTATTTCTCTAGAGTTCAGGACTAAAAGGGGAATGGTTAAATTAAAGGTCACATATATTTGCATTTTAAAGATATTGCCAAATCACCCCCAAATGACTATCAATTTACACTCTTGCTGAAAGTGTGTAGAAACACTATTTCCCTACACCGTAGACAACTCTTGGATCATCAAGCTTTAAATTCCTTGCTGATGTGAGGGCAAAAGAGAGCAGGAAAGCAAAATATTTAAGAGCTAACATCAGGAAAGGCAGGGTCTTAGTCGGACAGGTCTTTGGGCCCAGCACCCAAGGAAACAAGTTAACAGAGCAAATGTAAGGAGACTTTGTTATTTGCAAATACAATTAATACCCCCAGAGGAACTGAAGAACCATTACATCAATAGGCGAGCAGGCTGATATGAAAACAGAAACACTTGGAGATAATGGAAATAAAAGTCTGACTTTGAAAATTTTAAAAAATTGTTGAGAAAGGAACAACTTGCTGAAGAGCAAGTTATTACTTGTAAAATCTGGCTGAGGTTTCTATCAGAAAGGGCACACAAATGGGAAAAGATGTGGGAAGTATGAGGGGACAATTAAATGACACAGGTCTGGAAGTTTGAACATTCATCTAATACGATTCTCAGAGAAGGAAAAGAAATAATCAAAGGAAACTTCCCTGAATTGAAGAAACACTGGCAAAATGATGATCCTGTTCCTCCTGGCTGCCCACAACCACTAGAAATTAATTTTTTATTTCTGTATTTCTTCCATCACTTCAGTGGGATGTAGGGAAGGAGTGGGGTACACACCAGTGTGTTATTGACCATGTTAAACTGCAAGACACTTATTCTGCATTTAAAATTATTTCATGAGGACAGGTTACCAGGAGTGGGACTATTGGAGCAAAGAGCTAGAACATTTTTGAGGTTGTTGATGCATGTTTAAAGTGGCTGGCTAGACTGAGGAGTAGAACAGAGGGAAGGCACTGGCTTTGGCAGAGAGAGGGCTGGGTTACAATCTTAGTTCCTTCACTTAAGTGACCAGGGGAACCTCTCTGACCGTCGGTTTCCTCATCAGTAAAATGGGCATGGTAATGGTACCAACATTATTAATACTGTGAGGATGATTTGTGCAAAGCATTTTCCCCAAGATCCATCCTAAAAAGGTGCTTAATAAATGCTATTAGTCTGCATTATTTCAAATAAGTGGTTTGTCAGTATCAAAAAATTGTGGATGCAGTCAGGTGCTTGGAGAAGCATTCCCTGTCTTGGTCATTAGCATTTCATACTCTCAAACAAATCACTTCCCAGCTTGGCACCTCCATCTGCAAAGAAAGAAGCCCCCTGCCTATCTACCTCTCTCGGAAGACTACTGTTGAAGACTCACTGTTGTTTATAAAGCCCTTAGAAATGCTCAAGGGAAAATTCCTGTGCATACTTGGGGTTGTTTCCATTGGAACAAGGGGTCCTGAGAGCCCTTGCCTTCTGCTCTAGACCGGGTCACCACAAGATGATTCCTCCCTCTGAGCTTGGTCAAGCATAAATTCCTGTGGAAGAAAATGTGTTGTACTTATTCTGGGCCAACTTCCAGAAGTTTAATTTCTTCCTCACCTGAGTTGTTGGGGCTTAGGACTCATTTTCCTATCTGATAACTTATTAATCAGAAATTCCCAGTAAACTTGGTCCAGGGAGGCAGGCTGAACTCTCACCACGGCCACTTGCTGGTCCAGGCCCAGGACCCAGGAGCTGAGGGTTGGTGCTCAGCCCAGAGGAAGGGCTGGAGGTGACTCTTGCTGTAACCTCTGAGTCACTGGCCCAGGGTGCAGAGGCCTGGGTTGTGGGCAGACGGGCCTGGAAGCATAAGGGGTAAGAATATTTGCAAAGAAACCAGCTCACTAATGGAAAGAAATTTGTTTGTGTGGAACAGTGGCAGGCCCAGCATGGCGGTCAGCTGGGGGCCAGCAACGCAGGACATCCCTGAGATGAGGTTCTGGCAGATTAGAGCCCAAAAAAGTTGGGGATGGGCTGGGAGGGACTGGGAAGAGAAGAGCTCTTTTGAGGAAACAGTAGGAAAGTTGTAGGACACCCGCAAGGCCTGTGGGGTTCTATTCTGTTTTGTCTTGATTTAATTTTATTTTGTTTTGAAGCAGTGAACAAACAAAAAAAATCAAGGTCCTGGACATGATCTTAACCTGGAGCTGGCCTTTGCACAGTAAGAGCCATCATTATAAGAATCTCTTCCTTTCTTCTTTTCTAGCCCCACTCCCAGCAGACCTGGTGGGTGCCAACCTGTGGAGTGGCTGGATGTGGGCAGGGAGGGCAGCAGGAAATGCCTTCCACAGGCTGATCAAATAGAGGACAAGAAGGCCATGGGGGACCAGTGAGTCCCTCAAGGAGAAGGGAGACTTCATTCACCAAAGGGGTCCTGCATGCCCCTATCCCTTAGCCCCTCTCTCCACACAATCGAACCTTCTCTCTGCCCCCTTGAGGGCTGAAGGCAGCCAGCACATGGAATGTCATCTTGCAGCCCTCCTTCAGTAACAGCATGACGATGACAGCTAAATAGTCCCTTTGACTTCCTGCTGGAGAGATAGGAAACCAAGACACAGAAATACTGGGTAACTCATTCAAGGTCACACAGCTAGGAATAGGGAAGCAGGAATCGAAACCAGGCAGTTTCTAAAGCTCCTGCCGAGTATAGGTTAAATGACCCAAGAAACTCTAGAAAAAGTAAAATAGAAGGTCCCCAAAGGGCTCTCTGCACCCCACTGCCCTGTGGGCAAGGACCCAAGTCCTATTAAGGGCTGGACTGGAGAGCAGAGAAAGAGGGCTATGAGCAAGTGAAGGCAGACAGCCCTTGAGGAATGAATTCTGGCTCCACTGTTACCAGTAAATTTCAAATTCTCCTCATATTTGGGAAGATTAAAAGTGGAAAAATGGAGAAGGAATGACTCTTAAATGCTATCTTTCTTTTCTGGCTCCAGCTTCTGTCCGGTTCCCTGCCTGGCCGTGGAGGGCGATCCCACCGTGCCATCCTGCTTTCACCTCTAGCGTGTCTCCTTCTTCTCCTCTGGGTGCTCATGTAGCCACTCTCCTGGGGACTCACTCTCCTTTGGTTTGAATCCTCAGTACATGTACTTCTTTTGGAGAAGAAGTTTCATTTCTTTCCAATTACAAGTGAAATACCTGCTAAATGCAAAAACAAATGAGAAAATTCCTCAGTATAAAGAATCTTCCTAATGATACATCTACAGAATGCAGAGTCATAAAAATACCATTGAAGGATTCCTGTTTCATCTCAGTGTGGACAAGATTCATGTAACACATGAAAGTAAAGTGCTGCACAGGGTACAGAGCACCCACTGCTTACGTCTAGTTCCCCCAAAGGATGCGCAGGCGACTGGTAATGCTGGCGGCTCTCTGGAAGGAGAATAAATGGCTTGGAAGGAATTTTTTATTAGACAGTCTTTTAGAGCTTTTGATTTTTATACCATGTGATTTTATTACTTTTTCCAAGATGAAATAAAAAAATTGAGAAAGAATAGTTTATTATGTGGTACTCCATGAAAATTACTCTTAATATATATCCTTCCCAGCTTTATTTTCTGCATACACACAGACATACACACATGCATTTTGCTTATTTCCATAAAATTAAGATCATGTCATAATGAGTTATAACCTACTTTTCCCTCATTTACTATACCCTGGATAACTTCCCATATCAATGTATATAAATCACATTGTTAATTTAAGTAGTTGCAGAGTAATCCATTGTATACTTTTACCATAATATTTTTACCTAATCCCCTATAGTTTTTAAGAGCTTCATTGACATTCACATGCCAGAAAATTCACCCAAAGTGTACAGCCCAGTGGGTATGTATTCAGAGTTGTATGACCATCACCACAATCTAGTTTTAGAACATTTTCACCACTCGAAAAAGAAAATGCATACACCTTAGCAGTCACTCACCATTCTTCCTGTTCTACCTGCCATAGGCAACCAGTAATCTATTTTTTCTCTCTATGGATTTGCCTATTCTGGACATTTCTTTTAAATGGAGTCATGCATATAAGGCCTTTTAAAATAAAACAGTAGCAGACTAACAGACTCCAAGAAGGCACTAGTGGTTACCAAAGGGAAGGGGGTGAGGAAGGAGAAGGGGATTAAGGGAGACTCTAATTAGCACACATAATATAGGTAGGTCACGGGGAAGGCAGTACAGCACAAAGAACACAAATAGTGACCCTATAGCATCTTACTAGGTGATGGACAGTGACTGCAGTGGGTTGTGTGAAGGGACTTGATAATATGGGTGAATGTTGAAACTACAATGTTGCTCATGTGAAACCTTCATAAGATTGTATATCAATGATACCTGAATAAAAAATAATATATGAAAAAAAGTAATATATCGCCTTTTGTGTCTGGCTTCTTTCATGTAGCATAATGTTGTCAAGGTTCATCCATGCTGTAACATGAATCCTTTTTATTGACAAATAATATCCCATTGTATGGATATCCCACATTTTAAAAATCCATTCATCGATTGACAGACATTTGGGTTTTCCATTTTGTGACATAAATAATGGTGCTACAGACATTCATATACATATTTTTGTACAAACATGTTTTTAATTCTCCTAGAGGTAGACCGGCTAGTCATATAGAAACAATATGTTTAGCTTTTTGAGGAACTGCCAACTGTTGTCCAAAGTGACCACTCCTTTTGCATTCCCACCTGCAGTGTATGAGGGTTCAGTCACTCCACATCTTCACCAACACTTAGTACTTTCTGTGCCTTTGATCACAGCCATCCTGGTGGGTGTGAAGTATTGTGTCATCATGCAGGATGGCTTCTTTTGATTTTTCTATTGTGGTCAGGGATTATGTTTTGTATGATTTCAATTCTGTCAAATTTGTTAAAGTTTGTTTTATGACCCAGGATGTAGTCTGTTTTGGTGAATATTTCACGTGCACCTAAGATGAATGTTTTCCCTTTTGTGGAGGGAAAGAATTTTCTATAAATATCAATTAGCTCAAGTTGTTTTGCTATTGTTTATGTCTTTTTCATCCTGGATGATATTCTGCTCACTTGTTCTGCTGAATCCTGAGAGAGGCATGCTGAAGTCTCCAGCTGTAATCTTGGATTTATCATTTTCCCCTTTCCATTCTATCAGTTTTTGCTTCATGTATTTGAATGCCAAGCTGTTAGGTTCATTCACATTTAAAATTGTTATGCATTCTTGTTGAAATGATTCTTTCATGATTTTGTACTGTACATTTTAACCCTGGTAAGTTTCATGGTTTTTAAGTTTAGTTTTTCTGATGTTAATATAGACATTCCAGCTTTCTTTTGCTTTGTAGTTACATGGCATATTTTGAAACCATCTTACTTTCAACCCATCTGTATTATTACATTTAAAGTGGATTTCTTTTTTTAATTAAAATGTTTTTATTGTTGTATAGTTGGCATACAATGTTAAGATTCTGATTTCCATTTCTCTAATGACTGATGATGGATAAAATGTTGAACATCTTTTCATGTGCTTGTTAGCCATTTGTATATCTTTTTTGGAGAAATGTCTATTTAGATCCTTCACTTATTTTAAAATTGGGTTGTCCTTTTATTATTGAGTTATAAGAGTTCTTATATATTTAGGACACAAATCCTTTACCAAAAATATGTGACTGGCAAAAATTTTCTCCCATTCTGTAGGTTATCTTTTCCTTTCTTAATAGTATCATTTGCAGCAAAAATAAAAACGTTTTCATTTTGGTGACAACCAACTGATCTATCTTTACTTTTCTGAATTGTGCTTTTTGTATCATGTTTAAGAAACCATTGCCTAACCCAAAGCTACAAGGACTTACTCCTATGTTTTCCTCAAAGAATTTTATAGTTTTAGCCCTTACATTTGGGTCTATTACACACTTTGAGTTAATCTTTGTAAGATGTGAGGTAAAGATTCAAATTCCTTCTTTTGCATATGGCTTTCCAGATGTACCAGCACCATTTGTTGAAAAGATGATTCTTACTCATTGAATTTTCTTAGGATTCTTGTTGAAAATCAACTGAGCATGAAAGTAAGGACTTATCTTTAGACTCTCAACTCTATTTCATTAACTTAATTGTCTATTCTTACACCAATACTATACTGTCCTGACTACGGTAGCTTTGTAGTAAGTTTTGAAACACGGACATGTGAGTCCTCCGACTTTCTCCTCTAATTCAAGATTATTTTGGCTGTTTTGAGCTCCTTGTATTTCCATATGATTTTTAGGATCAGCTTGCCAAGTTCTGTGAAAGGCACAAGCTGGGATTTTGATAGGGGCTGCATTAACTTTAGAGAGTTTTATACACTGTGACCAAGTGGGATTCATCCCAGGGATGCAAGGATGGTACAATA